TTGTTCAGAGGAGACTTGTCATTGCCTTCTCCAAGATCACCCAGTGAGGGGTTTTTAATGGCCGCACTGGGAATCAAATAATATGCCAAGGAAAACTCTGCATGATCTCATGTTCACATCTACCTTGTATTTCAGTACAAACATCCAAATTAGCAACAGATCTTGCATTAGCCCATCTATGTGGATTATGCCAACCACCTCCAGCGGTAAGGATGTGGCTAATCTAAACCCTATTGTTCAGCATCAGGAACTTGTCATCCAGTTTAAGAACCAGCACAGATGGTATCTGAAGACACCATGAAACATCACTTCCTCCTGTTTGCAAACTTCGCGGCCCACATACAGCACAAATAAACACATGAATCTTCTCAGAATTGCCAAAAAGTTCAAATTACCATATATACTTGTCTATAATGCCCCAAAATTGGCCCTAAAATCCTGGGTCGACTTATATACAGTCAATACACTAATACAGCATAGAAAGGTCCTGAAATAAGCACCACAGTGATGCACCACTCTTCCCTACTCTTCATGCCTGGAAGCAGGAGTTCTCTCTCTCTCCCTCTGTAAGAGTTTTCCAATTTTAAAGCCTTCTCTTCCCATCGAAGAAACACCCCATTTAACTCCACTTTCTTTCCTCCTCAATCCAGTGATGTGGTGGTTGGGAGAGGTCCAGAGAAGGAGGAGGGACAGAAGTGGTGTTTTCCCCTTTCCATCCTTTGTTATAGCCCCCTAAGTTTTGCCCTCAAATTATCCACAGGTCATATAAAAACCCATGATTTTTACCCTGAACCCTTTCCTTGACTTATACATGAGGTTGACTTGTACACAAGTATATACAATACAATCATTTGGACCAAGCTATTGTAAAAATCCTATAGAATAGAACAGACACTAGTACACTTTGATATTTCAAGTAAATTGGCAACAACATGAAGAAATTTTGAGCAGCTGGACACATTCACACATTAGAATAAAGAATTATGAATTGCTGCAAACAGACCAGCGTGCTGATACTTACTTGTTCATTTCTCCTTGACTATCATCCAAATGGAACCAACTAAACAAACTGTGGACCTTCTGGTTGTTGTTTATTATGATATCCAAATGGAGATTTCTGGTTTCCCTCTCCAAACAAACCAGAGCATTAAGCCATTTTGCCTTATAAACCATCTTAAATCACCAGATAATCCAGGGCTCCTCTTGCTTGCAGGGTGAAAATAACCAGCAGCGATCAAGGAAGGTTCACCACTACACTAGCTTTTTTTACAATCAAAAATACCTAACATGGCCACTGTGTTTCTTTCTCATACACACAATTCTGGCACATCCTTCCTTGAACAACAGGAGTGGGACTATAAAACGTAAATAAATATTGTCTGCCCACACTGGAGTGGGCAAAATACAGCCGATATGAAGGATGTAGAAATACTATTTAAATATTGTGCATGTATCGATGCATATCAACACAAGGGTAAAAATAAATCCTAAGAATGATCCTAGTATGTAGAATTGTCATTTGTTATACAGGTTAGGTAAGAAACACATGTAGCTGACAAACCAGGAAAATAATAATAAGGAAAATAATACTACCTTTAAAGGTAGAGGAGTCAATGATTGTAAAAGAGAGAAAAAAGTATGGAATCCTGCATCATCAGCTGGCATGTGGGAAATAGCCCAGGAATACATGGATTACTCCTCCATGTCATCCAATAACGAAATATAATTATGCATATAAGCAATTTCCTGTATAAAACGAATTCTGCAAACTTTCTTCAATACACAGATTTAGTTTAAATGGCTTTCAAATAATAACATTAGCACTGTCATAATATTTTTGCAAATCAATCATAAAGCACACCACAGCAGTGTTAAATAACTCCTTTATTTTGTACAATGCTGGATTTCTGGTATCAGCCAGGACACTCTTCTTTAGCATAATCTTTGTACGCAACAATGCAGGCAGCATAAGAGACCCTAGAGCAGCTGTTCAGTGCCTGATCTGAAGAACTCAATGAATGACAAAAGGTTACCTTAATTCATTGAGAGAATCAGCACACATCCACCCACTATGAAGCATTTTCTAACCATCTGCATAGCGACAGGGCTAACTCCTAAAACAATTAGAAGCATGCTGACATGCCCTCATGTCAGTACACATTTCTATCTTAGCAACAGACTTTTTAAGAAAATCTGAACTTTTCAGAAATGTTAAGAAGCTTCATGAGCTGATGGCTTAAGTAAGCAGCTTTGAATGCTCCTGTTTGTCAAAAAGATGTTCAGCCTCACTGGCAAAATCTGCATAAGAGCAGAGCAAATGTTTTAGTTGAGAAAGATGATAGAGCCATTCTAGTTGTATCATTTACCTTTTAGATAATACAGCATCCTCACAGTTATCTAAATCTTCTATCCAAACCAGAACTGTTTTTTTCCCCTAAAAATTAGGAATTATTTTTTTAAAGTTAACCTTATAATACGGGTGGTCATGTTGCTGTAAGTACTTTTTGTGGTGTTATGGCCTTTTGGAGAGAAATGATGCATTTGTTAGAGAAATTAAGTATGGTTATGTAGGCAATGTACTGTATAACATATGTTATAAGGTAAGGATCTGTTGGGAGTAGGCAAATGTACGAGCATCGGGAGTGACAAATGACTGGCAGAAAGTTTGAAGGGGTTTTTAAAGGTTTGGCATGAATGACAGTTTGTCAGAATGTGAGAGATATGAGTAGAAAGTATTTGAGTTAGAGATGTTAGGAGAAATATGCTGCATCTGTACTGCAGAAATAATGCAGTCTGACACTATTCTGTCATGGCTAAATGCTATGGAATCCTGCGATTTGTAGTTTGTTGTAGCTCTCTCACAAAGAAGGCTAAATATCTCCCAAAACTGAATATCTTGCAGAGCTCTCTAACAGAGAAAGATAAATATCTAACAAAACTACAAATCCCAGAATTCTATAGCATTGAGCCATGGCATTTAAAGTGGTGTCAAACTGCATTCTTTTTCACCAAAGCATCATGTTTGGCGTTTCAATACAGTGGTTTGCTTTGTTTTGTTTCAATACAGACAGCTACAAGGAGGATCAGGATTTGGGCTATAGTGAAGGGAGTGTGTGTAACACAAATACCATGAGCCCAATTATGTCCATCCCAAGAGCTGTTATTAGTTTCAAGGGTAACAATTTATAGCCTTAAGGTACGGTAGGCTTGAACACTTTCATGGGGCTAGCCTATGACAGCTTGTTGCCTGAGCTGAAGAAAACCATATATCCATTCCCAATTCCATATAAAAGTTAACT